ATATTTTTAATTGTAAGTACTGAAATAAAATAGTTTATTTTATAGTTAAATTTTCTATCCAGCGTATGGTCATTTAATTTACCTTTTATGCAGTCTACTAATAAAAATATACAATATAATTTTGGTTATTTAAACATTGCCCAAATTTTAATTAGTAGTAATAATTTATAGATGTCCCAACTGAAATAGACTGATATAAAATTGACAGAACTTAAACGTCGTGATAAGGACAGATAAATAATGTAGTCGACACGATTATAGTTACAGAGTTTGTGCGGTACCGTTTATTCGAACAATGTTAAACATATGTTATATATAAATACACTTTAAGTTATTATAAATAATATACACGATAACTAAAGAAGAAAAACACAAGTTAAAATGAAACAGACACGAGATAGGCACTGATTGTGTCGATGAGGAAAAAGGCCGATGTGTGTCGAACGGTGTCACGGAGATGACTTAACGTAAATTTGCGGCGGGTCGTAGATGGACATGCGGCACTTGCTGGACTTTGTACCGTGGCGTATCACACGCGGTGTTAGTCAGTCAAACTACCATATGCACGTAGTAGGGCAGCGGCTGATAAAGGTGTCACGGGTCGCGGGGCTCAGTGTATAAAGAACGACGCGGTCCGTGTCAAAATATATTTTTAATTAATACTTTTTAAATTTATTATATAATAATTAATTTTATTGTAAATATTTATTTTTGAATTTACAAAAACTCATTTAATTGACATTTAAAATTTTTTACACTATTCCTTTTCATTTATTAAAACAAAAAACTGATTTTAGTTAGAACATTGACGTTCTGTCATTAGCGCTTCAGGGCAATCATATATAAAATGAGTAGAAATTTAAGATACTTTTCATAAAAAATTTTATATAAATCAAACCATATATCATTTGCCGCTTGTTTGAATTTCTTCATGTTACAATCAGAGTACTGGGTAGAAATCACATAGCGTCAACACCTGCCCCGGGCCTAATCCTAAGAATACAATATAATATACTAAATAAAATACTATATCACTTATATTTTTATAATTATTCTTGTCTATTGTAAAATAATACATTTTAATGTAAGGAAAAAAGTGCAACTAAAAAACAAATTCTGAATACTACACTCATAACACATAACATACGACTTGTCATCAATGACTATATTAATATAATATAATTATGATGTGAAGGTAGCTTAATATATTGATATCAGCAAAGTAAAAAAAATATTTTATTACTTATTTATTTTTAGCCCCGATTCTGTCATAATGTCCTTTGCTCGTGCCTCCGTGGTCCATTAATCTTGGTAACTGACCGGAATCGTTTTAAATAATATCTAATGGTCAATCTATGCCAAATCATCCAGAAGTGGTTTCACGACCACCTCATATTTTTCTGAAATGTTGAGGGTTTGTTCTTTATGCTATTATTATTATTATTATTTATACAATTTTTTTTTATGATCATCCTATTTTTATGACTATTTCAATGTAAAGAAAGTTAAAAATAGCTAGAATGTTAAAAAACACAAAAATTATTCAATGTCAACTCAATCGAACTAAAATTTTAGATTTGACTCTGTTATAAATTAAAGTTTACATTAAAAAAAAAAAAAAAATTGAAATTCTAAATTGGGATTTAGAGGCCTACAAAGTTAGACATTTTATAAAAATACGTGTATTCTATGTGCAATATCTTTGTTAGGGGACCTACTGATATACAAAACAATTACAAAAATGTGGGTTGAAAACAAGGAAAAACTATCATTAAATTATTTGATTTTGAGCGGATTTTTACTGATTTTCTAATGCTAAATTTTACATGTTACACATTTATCTCAAACTTCAAATTTTTATGACGTATAAAGCAGATATACAGGGTGATTTTTTTATCATAACCCACTCAATTACTTGCAGAATAATAATAATTTAAACATATTTTTTCTTTATTATCTTTAATTACACATTATTCTTGAATTTTTAACTATGTAATACTTTTTAAGTTCATCCCTTATGCCTTGGATGGGGGTCAACTTTGTTTTTTTAAATGGTAACACATATTTTTAATTTAATAAAATGTTTGAGTTTTTAATTT